GAATCCTTATTAAACAACAACAACAAAACTTAATTAAATAAGCAAAAGTATGATAACACTGATTGGAACATCTGGAAGGGAAAGCTGACATTTTTCTCCCCAAACTCAGCTCCTACAGGATAAATGAAAAAATGTGGCAGTCGCTTATGTAGGACAGGTACAAGGGCGGGTCTCCACAGAAATATATATAATATAAATAAAAATCGACAAAAAACACTTTAATTCCATTATACAAGGTAGTGATGTGTCCTTCATGAACGAGTCGGCCCCTTTCCGTGAACGATGGGATCCGCCTCCTGTCTGAGAGCCGATTATTTTTTTTATTCTGTTTTTTTTTCTCTCTTCGCTATTAACACAGCACGGCAATAGGATGATCTTTTCGCCACACGTTTCGACCACGGGCACTCCAAGCACCGAATGAGTAGTGTGTTGATGTGCGTGCTGTGCGATAAATCACGTCTAATGACAGACAATGATAATTTAGTTACGTGTTTTATTATTTTATCTTGCGTAACATGGACATAACAGTAGCATTAGAGATCTGTGACTTGTATTTATGCACCAAGACCAGATGCAGTGTGTTTAATGTTTGTTGTGACACCCTAATTTACAACGTTCAATATTAATTAAACGTTCCATACAGTTTTAAAATACTGTTTTCATGAATGTTTTATACCAAACATAACGTAAAATAACAGCATTCTGGAAATTAAAAGGTTTTGTATAATTACTTTGAATAATTTAAATGATGTACGCACAAACTTATCAATCATATCGGCCCCACATAGTAAATTTGGCTGAATATTATAGCCAGAAGTAGTACTAAATGGACAGCCGTTTGGGAGCCGAAATTGCAGGTCCATATATTACCGAGCTGAGCCTAATGATATGGCTCAATAAAAAGAATCTGTATTCACGTGACTACCACAAGACGAAGACAGAAAGACTCAATTCCTTAGAAAATGAATGAATTTTAAATAGGATCGTCAACAGCAACAACAATAATAATAATGGTTCGACCTGAATCAGTTTTTCCAATTTAAAATAAGGTAAATAGGCTACAAATAATTCCTTCAAACCTCAGAAACACTGATATTTTTTTTCAATTTTCTATGTTTTTCTGTGACCAAGAATATAGACTTAAATTAAAATTATACCTTAATATATATTATTAAAAGTATACCTTAATTATACACAAGAAATGATAAATTAAATAAAACCGTTAAACTTACGATACGCTTGTTGGCGAGCTTGTCGTTCGAAAGACGCCAAAACACGGAAAAGGACCAAAAAATATCCTCCCAAATAAACTAAACAATTAACATTAAATGACTAACAGTCAAAAACATTACAGTAATTTCGAAAATGTGTGTTTTTTAATACTATATATTATTTTCATATGCCTAAAATTTTCATGTACATTTTGTGATGCCATGCGTTGTATGGCGATGGACTTTGCTTGTACTGTAAACAAACAATACGCAGTTGCCATTATGTGTGAATGGCGAATATAATACTTAAATAGGACTTTAATTACTTAATATAATTTATGTTATTAACTTTTGAAGTACTGTAAATTTATGTATAGATGTGTAACTGTTAAAAACCATCACAAACGTGTTTATCAATCACTGAAACGTACTGCGGTAACACTTTATAATAGTTCCGTAGTTAAGAGGTAAATATGCAGAAACTAAGCAGCAACAAATGAGTAGTGCTTCATTAACACCTAAATTGGTACTATTAACTACTAAGGAGTTATGCTTAATTACTCAATAGGTAATAGCGAACTAATTATTATAGTAGTTCGCTAGTACTTCATTAGGAAGTATTGAGTATTGTAGGTCTCATTGGGAATTATCTACTAACTATGCATTATTTCTAATAACTACTAGTTCATTACTCGTCAAATGAACAGTGCTTATTTTGGACTAACTGGGACATATATGCTACTGTTCTCAATGGTTTTTGGCATTCAAAAACAGGCTTGTTTCTTCCTATACTTGTTTGTATGACATACAACTTATTCTGTAAAATATGTATACAGTACCTACATTTTAATTGTTTACCTCACTTCAGTCTGTGTGACTGTTCTTCAAACTGTACTTTGAAGTCCAACTGAAGGGATGGTCAATCAGACTCCTGTTTTACCACATGATGTGTTCCACCACATATTGTTGATCTTTTTTAACATTAAGAAATTAATGTATGTATTTTAAATAAGGAATGAAGTCTTAATAATGACCTAAATAAAACTAATTGTAACTCATTAGTAATGATTGTGGCGTTACTGACTTCTTCAAAATGAGTTACTAAAGATCAAGAACAGTATTATAAAGTGAAACACACTGTAACTCATTAGTAATGAATGTGGTGTTACTGAGTAAGCTATTTCTTTCACTTAAACGTAAGGGGTTAATATATAAGAACAATGAATGTTAACATAGCTTATTTGCTTCACTTAAACATTTATGTAACACTTCTTGACACAAAAGCTTAAGTTAATTTTAAACATGTAATTTGAAGCACATCTATGTTTATATTAACATCACAACTTAATTTTTTAAATCAAATTACTTTACATTGATTACACATCCATCCCATTAAAACTATTTACACAGGGTATTGCTTTCTGATGTCATGTAACGTCCAAGTGGTCCATCCTTGTGTTTTTGACCCAGCCAGCAGGTTTTTTGTTTTTGATATTTTTTGTACTAGCGTGCTGTTTTTTTTTTTTTTTGGTTTTTTATTTTTTACAAGAACTGTAAATACATAAAACAGACAATGTACAATCATTTCAAATACCAGACATACAGAATACAATATATAACAGCCACGTCTAACAAATAAGAATGCGTCAGGGGTAATTACGCAAGTTTATAAAAACAAAGTAATTCGTATGATCTCATAGCTTTTTTGTTTTTAATATAACTTAAAGTGGTGCTGTATTGTTTAAAGTCCTTAATAAAAAGAAAAAAATTTGGCTTAGCACTAGACCATTTTCTTTTATGGATATGGAATTTTCCAAGTATAAGAAAGAGCTGTATTATAAAACATACATTTCTGTTCAAAGTATCCCTTGTAAAATAAAGCATTATATCATATAAATCTATTTTAATCAACATTTCAAAAGCTCTCATCAAGAAATTAGACACGTCTATCCAAAATAATCTAGAGTATAAACAATGGAAGAAAACATGAACAATGGTCTCCTTTGATAAATTACAAAACTGACAGGTGTCCTCTATGTTTAAATTAAATCTCTCAAGAACCTGTTTTACCGGATAAATTCTGTGCAAAATTTTAAATGATACTTCTTTGGTTTTATTACAAACAAAATATTTATTAATATTAGTCCATGCTCTTTTCCAATCAATACAGTCAAATAAGGAGGACCAAAAAACTGTTGAATTTGGAATATAACGTTCCTTGAATATACTTCTGATAAACTTATTATTGCAATTTTTTCTAATATATCAATTCCTTTAACCAAAATTTTGTCCACCCAAACTTCAGTGTTTATTTCACCACAATTTTGTAGTAATAGGACAATCTTTCTGGGCACCGCATCAAACACAATAGCATATTCTTTGGGTTTCACCGGAATTTTGAATTTGTCAAGGAATTCTGTATAAGAAAGTAATAACCCTTGTCCATTTAATAATTGACTGACTTTGATAATCCCATTATCAAACCAAGACCGGTAAAAAATACTCCTATTTTTATAAAGAATGTCTTTATTGTTCCAAATAAAGTATCGATGTGGTGAAAAGTTGTGACTGTAGAACAGTAGGGCTCCATGTCTTAAACGCCTGCTTATGAAAATCTGCTAATTTAACTGGAATTTTTTCTATTGAATAGTTACATTGTAAAAAGAAACATACACCACCTAAAGAACTTAAAAAATAATTAGGGAAAATATTCCATAAACTATCCTTATTTAACATAAAATCAGTTATCCATTTTACTTTAAATGTATTATTGAGCTCCCTGAAGGTCAACACCTCGAGACCACCATGTTCTTTTTTATTACATATTACTTCTTTCCTTAAATAATGCGCTTTTTTTCTCCATATGAAATCAAATAGCATTCTATCCATTTCTTTAAGAATATTGTCTGGAACACACAGAGACATTGAAACATATACAGCCCTAGAAATCACCCTCTGCTTTTGATAGTAAAACACGGGCAAATAAAGACAGATCTCTCATTAGCCATGCATTAAATTTCTTTTTTATCTTTTCCAAAATAGGTTTAAAATTGAATTCTTCTCTTTGATGAGACTCCTTACAGATTACAACTCCCAAGTATGTAACCACATTTTTAATTGGTATACCCCCTAATTCCGACAGAACACAATTTTTAAGAGGGAACAGTAT